AAACTTCCAGGGCCTTACTTATGATATTGCAGCACCAGAAGGCCTCGCCTGGATGTAATGACGATTGAGATAGTTACCATGAAAGGATAAATCAGTTGCAGAGGTCATGCCTGGGGTGGCCACTGTCATAGCCCCTGGCTCAGTTACATTGTACGTTTGAAGTAGTTAAGCTTTGAAGGTCTGGCCACCCGACCCCGTTAGTTAACGCTAACTAGTTAGTTATCACTGCACTGAGTGACTAATGGTTATTGCTTGTAACTTATGTATTCCACAATCGCGCGGCCCATCTTGTAAAGCTATATAAATTTTATCTTTTATAATAATTATAATATCTTAATAACTACACTTCATATAAGTGTACAATGTTAAACAAAGATTAATAATAATAAAATCAACATAATTAAAGCATTCAGAAAAAGTTGAAATTAATTTTCTATATTTAGTTTAAGTGTTATCTTAAATTATAAGTAAATTACAGGTATTTTATATTACAAGCTGTTATATATAATTATTAAAATCTAAAAAAAAAATTTATTAAGAATAAATATTTGATTATCATAATCTAATTCTCTAAGATAAAACCATTCAAAAATGGTTGAGATATTAAAGTTAAAAAAATAACTTTGATATAGCAATGTTTGATGGGCCGCGCGATTGTACGGGCCGCACGATTGTGGTTTACGTTTAATCAGTAGTAACTGCAATTCAGTTTCGGAGGGTTCTAGCGTGATATGAATGCACTGACTGGACCAGGGTCCAGTGGAGACTACTTATCCATACCTCTTCGTAGCTTTCTACAGCCAATCTAATTATTATACCTCCCAGAAGCGCTACTTGTCCGAGCTATTTGATGGGGGACGTCTCTCTTATTTCTGTAGGTTAACCATAGAAGTGATTTGAACAAGGGAATAAAAGTAGAAAGACCAGGCAGAATATCTGCTACCACTAGTACGTATTTAGCGAGCAGAATAGGAGAAGAAAGGCGGTCATGCTAGTGCGGACGGAAACGAAGAACTTATTAGTTAGTGTAAGTATAGTGTAAGTAGTAATCCTAGCACTTTATTTGACAGTCCTCCCGTCCAGTCAGGGGATACTACACTTTTAGCCATGGCATAATGGACGTATCGGGTGACCGGGCAGCATCTTCTTTTACACCGATCTGCAGGCCTTTCATTGATAGCTTTAATGAAACACATACTTTATCTATCTATCTACCTGGACATAGTCGGCCACCTGCCATATACCCTTACCTGACGTTCAGAGAACCGGTCAGTCATCGTCTACGATGGTAATATATGTACTTGTCTCCCATGTTCATATCTCCACGAACATATTCCGCATCGCAAACACCAGATCAAGGGCTTCGCTTGGCTGCCAGTGAAAACCAACTGAAGTATCATACGCTTCAAGGGTGGCGTGCAGACGCGACAGTTGCTAGCCGAGCTCCTGAAATGTTACTGATTCATCAGGCCGGCAGTGTTCGTGTCGGCGAGATAATCAGGTTTGTGACCTTCATCCCTTAGCTCCTCCCTCATCATAGAAGCTACGCTACATGCAAGACCTGTTACTTATTGAACCTGCCGAAACAGATACACGTTGACGTACACACCTGCGGCGGACAACATCCGCCCTCCTCCGGCTAAGCTACACGTCAAGGTTAAGAATACATCTGCGCTGCCCCTACGAGCTGCATATCTACATGGCCCGTACACTCTCTATGCGTCATGTTATCCGTCCACGTACAACCCGAATGTTGGCGTCGACCAACACGGATCAGAGTGTATTCCACAATACGAACCGTATCTCAAAGCAGGGGGCAGTTGGAATGCGGCCTTGGTTGTACCCCAGAATACTTGCCACGATCGAGGAGAAATCCACTATGAATCTGAGAAAAGTACGACCTGGGTCATTGAAATCATATCTCAGGTTGTATTTTCGAGCACCGCAACCGTCAATTTCGAGCTGCTAGTTGGTCGTGATGAGAATTCGGTAGAATCACTAGCTACGGGTGCATCCTTCGGTGCCGGGCTACCGAAGGCTGCTCAGTTGCATGAGCACTGGTCAGTTGAGACAAGGGGCAAGCAGGTGCTTGCTACCAAGGGCGTCTACTCTCGTTCTATAACTTTACTATTGGACGACACTGCTAGTCTCTGGAACACACCGCATCTTCCACCAGTGGGCTCTGGTGATGAGCAGGCTTCAGCAACAAACGGTGATAACCAAAGCCAGCCGACTAAAGACAACCATATGAAAAGAATTCACCTTGTTGTGTTGACCCATGGACTACACAGCAATCTGGGGGCAGACATGCTTTACCTGAAAGAGAGCATTGATGCCGCCGTGAGGATGGCTAAAAGTAAGGCGAAAGCTAAAGGTCAGGGACACGGAGATCAGCAAAATGCCGAGGCATACCCAGCAATGGAAAGGTAAGCGGAGCGTTGGTGCGCCACATGCGGATGCTGCAGCGACCTATTGATTACAGTTATCGGTTGCCTTGCGCGAAATTTTCCACACATGACTTACAACAAATGTTCTTTTCCTTGTTCTTACGAACTCTTTACTTCCGAATTTTCCTCCCCTTCCGCACTTTGATATTATCTTTTCAAGAAAAAAAATTCAATGACTCACAGGATGAATTGCTAACTTAAGCCTATAGTAGGCCAGATTGTGAAGACAGCGAGAACGACGATGAGCAGGTAATAGTAAGGGGCTTTCCCGGAAATGCAACCCGCACAGAGCGTGGTATACAGTACCTTGGCAAACGTCTCGCAAAATATGTTCTGCGAATCGCATGTCCGGAGCAGCCTTTCGGTTCCCAGAAAGGTGTAGGAAAGAATCCAGCGCCGTTCACACCGTGGAAGCGAGCCACTGGAGAGCCTTCTCAACATGACCAATCTCGCGATATGTACGGAGAACCGTCGCTCTCTCGGAATGGTGGTTATCAGGTCACCAGTATCAGCTTTGTCGGTCATTCACTTGGCGGTCTCGTTCAAACGTACGCGATCGCCTATATTCAAAAACACTTCCCTGACTTCTTCGACAAAATTAGACCGGTGAATTTCATAGCCCTGGCAACCCCATTTCTTGGTCTAAGTAATGAGAACCCGGTGTATGTTCGTTTTGCCTTAGATTTAGGACTCGTTGGTCGGACAGGCCAGGATTTAGGGCTTAGCTGGACAGCACCAAGGGTGAGGGGTGGCTGGGAGACTTTGATAGGAGGAAGGGGGCATTCTGTAAACTCCCAAGGAGTTTCAGACGCTCGTTCCAAGCCTTTGCTGAGGGTGCTTCCTTGTGGTCCCGCCCATGAGGTTCTTACAAAATTTCGACGCCGCACAATTTATTCCAATGTTGTAAATGATGGAATAGTACCTCTGCGGACCTCTTGTTTGCTCTTTCTTGACTGGAAAGGGCTTGACCGGGTTGAAAAGGCTAGGAGGGAAAATGGCATTGTGGGCACCATGGCCGAATGGGGCTGGGCAGAATTGACAGGAGCTAATTCAAATTCTTCACGGACCCATCTGACCAGCGAGGTAGAACTGACAATCACCAATGAGCAGAGCAGCTATGGCAACGGGGCTCGGTCAACAACAGACGATGCCTCTGCGGAACAAGATGTTTCAATCGCGGCTGGTGTTACAAGCTGTACAACTAAATCCCCGTCATTCGAACAGCATCGGTATCCTGCTTCATCTGGAAACAGTGTAAATACTACTCCCAGACAAGTCTTGTCTCGATCTACGTCAATGGGCCCATTGTCCAAAATGTTTTCAATTTTGCGACCGAAGGAGACAGCCAGAACACAGTCGGGAAACAAACAAACGAGGATATACAAGCGCAGCCAAACCGTTGACACACTTGGTGGTATAGAGAGCCCAACCGTTGCCAGTTCTTACGCTCAGGGACCCTCTGCTGCTGGCGACTTCCATGATTACGGGCCTCATACCCCTCCCCAAACTACGTTCTTCGAATCAGCTAGTGATCTTCTTATGCCGCCTCTTCCTTCCATAGACTTTATCCTCGATCCCGCTAAGAGGCCGAGAACAATATTCCATGATCGCATCTACAACCCCGAAGATATACCGCCCCCGATGGCGCCTAAGCGGCGAGCATTGACATTGGGATCTCTACAACAAAAACCATCGACTGCACAACCTGCTCCGAGAGTTGATTCCCGGGAGAAGTCACTTCCCGTCAACGAAACTGAGAGTGGCCTTAGGCTTGAAGAAAAAATCGCTAGAGCTTATCACCGTGATTTGTCATGGCGCAAAGTCCTTGTCCGCCTTGAGCCTGATGCTCACAACAACATTATTGTACGGCGAATGTTCACCAATGCCTATGGCTGGCCTGTTGTGCAACACCTCGTCAATACCCATTTCGGACCTCCATCAATAGCTCGCTACAATGATGCAAATGGACAGTGCGCTGACCCGTTGAATGCATCGGCAACCGAAACTGAAAGCTCGAAGAATGGTGATGAACCTCGAAGTACTTTACAAGAACCACAATTGGATACTTGAAGATTGTTGCCAATGTCATACATACTGGAAGGAATTCAGCGCACCGCGCTGAACACTCATTTCAGGTCTAGACCCTAACCCACATGCAATCCGGGGTCAAAGTAAAGGAATCTATTAGCCGATACAGGTTACTAATGAATTTCTCGCGTTCCATGGGTTCATGCTTCTGTTGGGATCTTGAGGCTTGCCAAGGATTGCTCAACATGTACGCCAATATGTGTTGATTGCTTTTCGATTCGTATGATAGGTCTCCTATCAGAACTGGGGCTAATGAGGAAAGTGCTGGCTGCGTCCATATATATATTCAGCTGAAGACTCAAATATTTGCGCATGTAGAGATGCATATGTACGTCATATAGTATATAGTATTGTAATTTTATTCATTCACAGCACAGTATATTTGCACACCGTAAACGATGATACTGATCTGAGACATAGCTGACTCACGGTAGACCGAAGCATTTGATCCGCTAAGTGCAGGTATCAGTATTCAAAACTTCCCTGAATCTGCCCCCAAAACTCTTTAATGAGCTCCAGCCTGCTGTTCTCATCGGAGCATGCTCTAACAGCAAGGTATTTTCTTCCATCGAGAGTTGCTTCCCACGTTCCTGGGTTTCCATCTATCATGACACCACCTGCTTCGGTCAGTATTACCCAGCCTGCACAAACATCCCAGGCCCAGCAACCCCCTTCCCAGTATATGTCTAAAGTCCCAGCTGCGACAGCACAGAGGTTCAGCGCCGCAGAACCCATGCTGCGCATCGAACGGACCATTGCACCGCCATCTTCCTTTGCTCGGCCGAGTTTCTCGAAAGTTCGCACCTTTGTTTCCCAATTGGCACCTGTCCTCTCCGAACCCCACTCAATACCGACGAGTGAATTTTCCAGGCCTTTCAATGGCCCTATATCATCGCCCTTTAAGGGAAGCTTGGTGGTGCGGTTCAAGTATGACCCACGGCCTTGTATTGCAGAATAAAGAGTGCGTGTTAAAGGGTTGAAGACGACACCTACAATGGGTACACGGCGAACAGCGAATCCAAGAGAAATACAGGAGCAGGGAAATCCATGCACAAAATTGACCGTACCATCGATAGGATCAACTACAAACGTGGGTGCATCGGTTAGGGGATGGGCTGGGTCATAGGTCTCTTCTCCATGAAACCTGTCGGTCATGTAAGTCAGGAACAACATCGAGTTAAAAGTGAGATGGTGTCAGTAAGAGTGAGTGCAGTGGGCTGCACTTGAAAGCACAGGTAGGTGAGGAATGGACCATGAAGCATGGTTGTTGGGGGAAGGGGGGATGATAAAGAAGTCCGCATAGACCTACTGATATGATGGATATTTTTCCATTAAGGCAGAGGATATCATAGTTTCAACGGCTTTATCATATCGAGTGACGATATCAGCAGCTAAAAGGATAGGGTTAGCGGAGCTTCGTTCATCTGCACGACCAAACCGCATAGCTACATTGCGTGTACATCAAGCTGGTGGGGCATATATGGTAGTCTTACAATTCATCTTCGATCCAGTACTATCATCGGTAGGTAGAGCGCTGTTGATGATATCCCCAGCACGGAAGGCCAGGCTGATCAGGTAATCATGGATCTCGTCAAGATCAATGGGTTTGCCATCATGTTGGTAAGATTTAGGAGCCATGGTTTTCATGCATAGGAATGGAGTTCGAAGAAAATGGAAAAGCGTCTTTGACTCTAGTGGATGCTCCGTTTGTACAGTGGGATGGGCACCAATTTATGGATTGAATACCAGATACAAGATGGTGAGGAGGTCTTCAAATTGAACGAGAAGCCGCTCACGCGTGAGAACGGAGAGGGGCCCCCGAACCTTGTCTGTCTGATGCTTTTGGTTTTAGCCATGCCCGGCTCGGGCCGCCAAATGTACTGAGCCTATTTCATCTAGTCTACGTATGTGAGGGGTAGGACCTTCCTCTGTTGGCAGGTCGTAGTGGTAGTGATATTGAACTCGGTCGTGAGTACCACATCTATGAGACTTGTGGATTGCTGGGAAATTTAAGTTTGAATGTCCTGTAGTCTAATTTCGAATATAGGTATACCCCAACTATGCCCGTTGAAGAGTGGACTAGCCGGTTCGGCATCCGTGGCTCTGTGCCCGCAGATGTCATTCTGCATCCATGAATCAGGAGAGTGTTGCGTAATGCCAGTGAGGAAGAAGATCATTTTTGCGCCAAGGTCCAACTCTACTTATGATATCTATTCGTATCCGAGTGACTACCCGACGATTCAATAATTGTCATCACTGGCTAGAGGCCCTAACGCTCTGGCTCAGTTCTTTGTTTAAGAACGCCCTTAGCACCAATCGACAACATCCAAACAGTGCAGCCTGGATGGTGGTCTGACCAAGGATACTGAATACCAAACAATTCTTGGAGACGTGCATGTATGCTGCTTCACAAGCCTTATTGCCACCTCAGTCTTGACTGGAGATCAATGACCCGGGCCCAGTTCTTTGTTCAAAAGTGTTTCCTGGGTTGTGGTCTCATCCGGGGCATTGGATGATAAATACTTCGTAAAGCCCATCAATCCGTTTCACCACGAGTTTATCAGACCAGTGGCCATCGCATCTTCACGAAATGCCATGCCACCATCATAGCAATATACAACACCATTCCGAGGCTTTACTCGCTTCATTACCAGGAGGCGGTGATGAGAAAGTCTCTGTTAATGCTGCCGGTCTAAACCGGGAGGAGCTTCGTCAAGAAGCTACCCGGAAAAGCATCAGTGAACTGCGTTCGGTCCCCAGCAGCAGAGTCTGGATTACTACTAACAGATACTGCATCATCGGAAATAGCATGGACAGGCTGGAAAGATACTTGCACAACATTTGGCATTTATATTACCAGGCAGGTAGGTATCTGTCGCTTGAGAGTCCTGAGCATGATGCTATTGTCCTAGATACCCCCGCATTCAGGGCAAAGGCCCACTATCCAGGCCAGTAAAAGGGTTACCTGGTGTTGATGTGGCAAGGGACCGAGATGACAAATTTGGGATGACTTCCCTTTCATTGTACCAGACATGGCAGACTACTGAATGGGTTCGTGACAATGCCTGGGGCCTAGCGGCTTAACTTGACCTCCTTTCTCTTGCTGAAGTGGCCTCAACTCGCGTCTGCAAGGATCGACTCTGTCGGATTGCCGCCTTCCTGCTCCGCGTTACTTTGGAGGAAAGAAATAGATCACCGCCCCATTAATAGGACAATCGAAGAAGACCCATTACGCACGATGAAGTAGGTTTCAAAGGCAGACTTGCTGCCCTCTGCCTACGCGTGGTTTAACGGGCTGGCGAGAAACTTGTCTAATTGGCGAATATCGCGTGAAACGATAGCCCGAATTTGATTAGGCGCAGTAGCTGGCAATTCAATGAATGGCAAATAGCACAGCAGCCGCAGCCCGGCTTCACTCCTTGGAGGTGATTGTTCTGGCCTGAAGAAGTCGTTGAGGCCACACGAGGATGAAGGCGAGGAAGACGAGAAGGAGAAGGAAGGCGAAGAGGCCGGCATCAATGAGAAAATGGACAAAGCGAGTGCGGTGGGTAAGGACTCTGTTTAGGATTGTTCCCTTCCATGTTGTATTGACTCACCCTTGCAACTCCTCCCTGCCTTGATGCTGTCGCAGCTCCCTGGAGCGTCAATAGTACATTGTGAGTCTTCTTGTAAGTCAGCATGCGCACAATCATGCTAAATTCGATAACACATATTTATGGCCCTAGGGCTCTCAGTCCTTAGTTGATCAGGTGATGACAATAGGGTTAAGTTCTGTCTCTGAGACAACCATATAACTTTGTATACATCGCGGGGCACGCAACTCGGAAGAGAGGGGTCACCGCCCAGCCCAGTATTAGAAGGTCCTCCTCTCAATCACGAGCAGTGTCTAACACCGCGCGTTTGTTGTACCGAAATCCAGTAGTCTGTCTCGATACTTATACATAGAAACTTCACATGAATGTAGTATTTCAAGCCAGATTGAACAGGAGGAACCTACTATGGCTGGATGGCTACCCAATCGAGTGGGCGGTACCGAAGTCTGAAATAGTTGACCCCCACCAGCCGGCGGGGAAAAGAAGACGAAGAAAAGGAAGAGAAAGCACATATTACATTGATATCAGCGTGTGCAAATTGTCGCCTCTTTTACCTCTTCCCTCAATTTGAAGTTAAGAACCCTTTAACATGCCGACAGAGCTAGAAGAGGTAGGTAGAACCATGCCTTTGACTGAAAGGAAGCCCAGGGTCCTCAGTTTGGAGACTGATGTATTCGCATCGACCAGCTTGTCGAATTCCTCCACCATGGAAACACCCCGATCAGACAGATTGGTAAGCTACAGATTGCGTAGACTTCTGCTTCTTAAACCGCAGGTTTCTGCTATCTTCATATCTCGCCATCTTCCGAGGCATACATCAGCGTCATTCTAACGTCTGGTCTTTTCCAGCATGCGAAAATCTAGTGGGCTTTTCGGTCTCACAACCAGAACTTTTCAAACGCCACCAGCTTCTCCCAGTCCGTGACTTGAAGCTTTTGGTCCGCGACTACACAGTCAGTACTCGGGTCCTTCATTTGTGCCGACAAACATTGACCAAGGCATTCACTGATCTTCTTCCGATCCTGAAAGCCTATCGCCAAAAATGCGATAACAATACTTATCAACCTTTCGGCCGATGATGAAGTCTTAGCGGCTCTTGCGGAAGACGATGCTTTCGTCGAAACCCTCTTAGTTAAATTGACGGTGAGTTGTCTAATTGATATCAATATCTGCATAGCGGCCTAACACCCAGTTCTACAGAATGTCAAGGAGCCGAATGCGGATGATGTCGCCATGTTGTTCGCCAACCTCGCGAAATCAGAAAAAATGAAAAAATTGCTCGCGCTGAAACGGAAGGTTCCTGAGGGGGTATCCAGTTCTGCTAATGCGATCGATCAGCTGATGGACTGTTTCGTCAAAGGGGCCGAGGGCACCCTTAACAAAAACGCCAACTTCGACTATCTGTCCTATTTGTTTGCTGATCTCTCAAAATATGAGGAAGGGCGGGCCTATTTCACTACAAAGCAAGAGTACGATGATGTTGTGCCAGTGACGAAACTAACCGTGTTCACGGAACACGCGAGCGGGATCCGGAGAAAGGGAGTCGCGTCAACTATCAAAAACGTCGCATTTGACCTGCCTTTCCATCCCAAACTCATGTCTGAAGACGAGGCTGATATTCTTCCCTATATCTTGTTGCCTATCATGGGCCCTGAGGAATATGATGACGAAGAATCTATGGATATGCTGCCAGATCTCCAGCTGCTGCCGCCCGACAAACAGAGAGACAGCGACACTAGTATCATTGTGACACACCTTGAGACTCTGCTGCTGCTCACCACGACGCGTGAGGGACGGGATAAGATGAGGGCCATCAAAGTATATCCTATAATCCGAGAATGTCACCTCCATGTTGATGACGACGCTGTTCGGGAAGCCTGCGATAGGCTAGTTCAGGTTTTGATGCGGGATGAAGAGGGCGAAGAAAAGCCGCATCCCCCTATCGACAGGAATGTATATGATGATGACCAAAAGGTTGAGGAGCTATTCTAAGGATCTGCATTTGAAAGGTGCGCATGTGTTGTGAGGCATTTGGGAGCCCGTACCAATAGACGAGCCTAGTGGCCTTTATACATACAAAACATCCAAAAAGTCTTCAAAAAGATTCATCTTTTCAAATTCTCTCGATAGTGAATTGACCTGTAAGCTTTGGCCGTCATGTATTGTAGTCTAGACCTGTGACGCTGTTGTCAGACTGAAGTCTAGTCAAACTAGTTACTTAAGGTAGTTAGACGGGTGCATTTGTTCGCATCGTTGCCAATACTATACAATATGTATATATTTACCTATATGACCAGTCTGCTTGCCCCAGGCATTTCGCACCATATGTCAGACTGAAAATAGACCGAACCCACAGTCCGCTTTGTATCCAATACTTCAAAGTATTTCTTTGATCTGTACAGGCCGAGGTAAATGGTAATTCACATAGTAGTGATAATGTCCAATAGACACCATAAGGTCTGACAACTTGAGTGAGTTTCTGTAAAAATACAATGTAGCCCACAGTGACATTATCTGAGCAGTGGTAACACCAGACGGAGTATGCCGTTGTACCTTTGTGACGCCACTACCTTTGTCAACAAGTGAAGGTCCACTTACATAATCACTTTCACTTCAGTCATCTCGCGTCCGCCCGGCTTCACTTCAAGTACTCAACGCCTGAGTAGTTATCTACTCTCGCTCGAGATCTTCATCTTCCACCCGGCACACCGCATGAATCTGACAATCTAACTCTGGCCTTAAGCACAACACTTGCAGTATTCAAGCCAGTTTTCCTCGAAGACTTGCCAAGGGCTTCCCTGACCCCGACAAGTACCACAGAACGTTATTATGACCACACCTACTAATGATCAGACTCTCAAGACCCCGACGGGGTCGAACGGTCCTCCACCACTGCGCATTCGCCGGCCAAAAGTGGCTGATCCTCTAGTGCGACCGAAGAGGAGACCGGCAATGAGACCCCCAGCTCCAACGTCGGCAGCAAATGGCGCATCAAGAATGTCCAACTCCAGACCAGTCACTTCGGGCCAGCTACCAGGGGCTCGCGCTGAGAAAAGCTTGACCCCAAAGAATGATTTCTCGGCAAACGGTTTCAGCGGCCCGTTGTTGTCTGAGAATTACGTTGATTACCCCATCGTGACTACAAGACGAGCATTGCGCGAAGGCTTGAAGCACCATATCGCCAGGTTCACCTCGAAAAAGTCCGTCGATCCTCGCGACGAAAGTCAGTTTACTCGCCCCGTTAGACTCCAGCGCCGAGATCCACGAGCACGGCCGAACGACGCGAACGTCGAGAGAGGCCAACTCAATTCGAAACCCGGCTCCGAACAAAGTACCCAGATGGATGAACTTGAACGCGAGGAATTGGAGGCTAGAAAAGCAGCTCGCGAAAAAGAGCGCGCAGATAATATGGCCCAAATAGCCCCTTCCGTCGGCTCAGCGCCGAAAAGGCATAATGCCCCCAAACAGAAAACCCAGCAAGTGACTAAAACAGACATGACCCCCGAGGAGATTGCCAGGACTCGGATCAAGTATGAGGAGGCCCTTCCGTGGCACTTGGAGGATTTCGACAACAAAAACATCTGGGTAGGAAATTATGAAGCCGCGTTGTCAGAGACCCACGCAGTCTTTGTGCTTGAGAATACAGGGAAGATGAGAATGATACCGGTTGAGAAGTGGTATCGCTTCAGCGCGAAGAATACATTCAAGGCTTTGACCATAGAAGAAGCCGAGAGACTGATGGCTAAGAAGATCAAAGATCCGCGGTGGTTCATGGAGAAACAACAAGAACAAGCTCAACGGAAGGAACTGGAACAATTTGCCAGACAACAAAAGGTGTACGCTGGTAAACAGGGAACCCCAGGCGGTGTCGAAGGATTAGAAGCGGATGAGATGGACTTCGAAGAGGATAGATTTGCCGATGATGAGGAGCATGATGATCTTTTCAACGAGGATGAGGAAGCCAAGGCTGCTGAAAAGCGAATCAAGCAAGACCAATTGAAAGCCAATGTGTTTGATCTGAAGAACGAAAAGGACTATGAAGAGGAGGAACTTAGAGAGAAAAGAGAAAAGGAAGCCCGTCGAGTGCTTGGAAAGAAAGTACGCAAGGCCCTCCAGAAAAGGGAAAAGAACTATGATTATAGTAGCGGTTCAGATGTGAACCCTTATTCAGATGAGGAGGTACATTTTTCGTCCTTACCCTTTTCATATGTACATTTGTACAGGACTTTTTTTTTGGTGACGATCTGACATTGGACAGAGCTCGGACGACAGTGAAGCCGAACGACAGAAGGAGGAGGAAGAGGGCAAAGCCGAGGAGGACAAGAACAAGAAAGAGCCCTCAAAAGGCAACCTTACTCCATCAGGTCGCTCACGACATGCCGATCCGACCAAGAAAGGCTCTGCCGCAGCACCTAGAAAGCGACTAGGGTCTCCTTCTGATGCAAGTGGTACAGATACGTCCCGCAAGAAGGGGAAGAGCAAACATCCGTCTTCCCAGCCGACACCTCAGCCACCATCTCGTCCTATGTCTCCAAGCGCGTCATCATTACCGGTACGTTTTAAGTTCGTTAAACTGCATTTGTTTCGATTATTGACTCGGCCTAGGTCAGCAAAAAGCGTGTTCGGAATGTGTTAGCAGGCGGCGCGGGATCTGCTAGCGATGTTGACGGCGGGGCTGGATCGGGAGGCGAAATGAGTGAGAGTGGAAAGGTTAAAAAACTAAAGCTCAATCCTCCGTCAGTGGCATCACAGAGTGTGACACCGCAGGGCTCAAGGGCCGGCAGTCCGGCTCCCTTGGGCAGCAAGAGCTTCTCTGGCAGTCGTGCTAGCAGTCCGGAATCTTTGAGGGGTAAGTTATATGATTCTATCATTCTGTGCACTACGAATCGATTTACTGAGTGGCTGTACACCTTCAGGTCCAACACGCATTTCAACCCCGGGTCCATCTGGTAGTGCCCAGGGCTTCCCAACACCCGCAGAAATCCATGCTGCTATTCCGCAGTCTGGTATTGGAAGTAGTGATCTGCTTAGAATCTTCCGTCCTCGTATTGGGGAATCCAAAGAGAACCACCGGCGTTTCATAGCAATTGTCAAAGATGTTGGAGTGTACGGGAAAGAAGATAGGCTCCTACGACCTGGTTCACTGAAAGAGACATAAACCGACACATCACTATCATGCAGATCTTATGACAGTGTTGTCTCGCACCAATGAACAAAGTGCTTGCGCAGCGTGAGCGATCAATGGAAAGACCAGAAAAAGCCTTGCCGTTGCACTGACTTGAAGGAAAATCCCCATGGTTTTGTAGGGGTTGCTGGACAGTGTACAGCTAGCTATAGGGCACAAGAGACAAAGGCGCCACCGGTGTATCTAATCTTAATTCGATAATCTACATAAGTTGGAATATTCTTCGTAGCTGTCAAGGCAAAGTGATTTTTTAGGCCCGATCGTTGTCAAAGTCTTCGTAATTGTAGCGAAAGAGGCAGCATCAATCCAGCATCGAGCGGATCGACTTGTGCATAGAAAAATGTTGCGAGTAGTAACAAATGCATACGAGCAGTTTGAAATCACCTCAATCCGTAATAGAGTATGTGAAGAAATTTCATCTCTTATTCTCATTCACACCATAATAGTTGATTGATACGACTATATTCCTACATCAATCACCAAGGGTCTGACATATTGAACAGTGATATTAGGGGCAATTTCGAAACACCAGCGCTAGAACAAGACTGAGATTTAGAAACAAACGAACAACAGAACTCCTATATATATTGAAAAATGAATCTACCCCTAGGCATCTGCCACTCCAGTGTTGCGTTCACCATCCTCATATTTCTCCCAGTTGGCTAGGATATGCGCGATTCTGGGAGAGTTGGTGAGTCTGTAAACATCCTCGAAGTACTCCTTGGTGATCTCGAACGGTCTTGCTGTGACGTTCGGGATATATTTGCCGATCAGTTTACTAGGGTCAATAGTAGTCTTGTTGATCTTCTTGAGCAAGAAAGAGCGGAAGGGCTTGACACCAGAACGAAGGAAGGTGCTGTGGAAGGGCACATCAATGCCTCGGAGAGGAATGGTGGCGAAGCCGCGCTCGAGAGCAATAGGCTTAGGCTTCGACTCTGTCTGCTTGACACACTCTTGGATAATATTGACAAGGTGCGTCTTGACGTCGTCCAAAGACATGCTCTGCATAAGTGCAGGGATGTCAATGTTCTGAGCCTTGAGATAGTTGAGCAGGTTCGTGAGACAGTCGAGTGCCCGAAGCTGCAAAGAAGTTAGAACAGAACGGACAATAAGTTGTAGATATAGGGGTTAAGACTCACATCACCGGCAGCAACATATTGCATGTTGGCGACATTGTAGTTGACAATCTCCAGGAGCCAGCCAGTCTCCTCAGAAATGTTCTCCACCACATATTGCAAGGCTTGTTCGTTGAACGTCTTGGAGATTCGGCTCGGGTTGACAGCACACATAGAGTAGTTAGAGCGACCTTGCTCGTCTCGCTCAACAGCAACCTGCATTGTCAAGCCACGATAGAACACAACAGAGACCAAGCTTTCGATGGGCATGACATCGGCAAGTGCGGCGAGAGCCGAATACTCACCCAGCGAGTGACCTGCAAAGCTGCTATCTCTTTGGACGAGACCCTTGGAACGCATGTCCTCGAAACTTGCCTTCTCCATCAAAGTCAGAGCCGGCTGAGTGAACTGAGTTGCGGAAAGCAGGCCAGAGGGCGAACGGTAAGTGTAAGACGCCGTATCCTCGTCGATCTCCTTGAAGATCTTCTCAGACTTGATGGATCCATCTGCGTTGACGGTTTCAAAGGTCATCGACATGTAGTTCTGCCGGATAGCTTTACCACGAGGACCACCAAAGTAGACAGTCAGCTCCTTGGGGTTGTTCTTCACAATGTCGATGATTGAGAGACCGTAATTCTCGATGAAATGGCGGTCGGCACGATCCCAAACCTCTTTGGCAACTGGGCTGTTGGCGTACAATTCCATACCCATTCCCTGCTCCTGGGATCCCTGGCCGGTAAAGACGTACGACGTGACAGGTTGCTCTACTTCAGCCTCACCAAGAAGAACCTTATCTTCAGTGTCTTTGTTGATGACCTCGACCTTGATGATCTTACGACCAGCGATCATACCAACATGCTGCAATTTGACGGCGATGACATCATTGGGCAAGACCATGCCAACCAGGGACACATGGAAGCCTCGAACGCGGCCAATGTTGTTTTCGGCCGCCCACGTCTCAACATAGCTGCGGACTGCAGCACTCGAGTACATACCGTGAGTGATGGTACCGGGCAAGTTGGCGTAGCTGGAGAAGACTCGAGATACGTGGATGGGGTTGTAGTCGCCAGAGACACGAGCGTATGTTTCGTTGGACGCAGGAGCGCGCAATTCCAAGGCAGTCTTGCCGCTGAGAGGGATGGGGTTCTCAAAGTAGACCGGTTGTTCAATAGACGTTCCGTTGCGCTGAAGGTAGTCGATCACGGGGTTTCCGTGAGAAGTACCGGCTTCATAGTCCACAGACGCCACTTGGATAATCTCCTTAGTGGGGAGCTCGAGGAGCACTTGACCAATTGTCTGGACGTGGCTGAATACAGACTTGTTCTTGAAACGGATCAGGCTTTGAAGACGGAAAGTCAAGGTCTGACCCAACAGCTCAACATCGGGGCCATCCATGCGGAACCATTCCTTCGAGCGAAGGATCGCAACATCCCGACTGGAAGCGAGATGAACCTGCATAGGCACTTCGTCCTTGCGCTGGAAGGTGTTTTCGAAGTCCAGATAGGCTCCACGGTACAAGAATTGACTGGTGACGTGCATGATAGGCTGACCATCTCTTTCAATTGTACCGCAGACTTCAACCATCTTACCAGATTCCTGGTTAATGACAGCGTTGATCTGAGCAGTAGTATCCAGAACATCTCCGACCTTGAGAGGCTGAGCTCCAGGGACCATCTTGAATCCATTGGAAAGGTGAACCAGCTTCAAGAGATCACCATCGATGGTGCGTGGGAAGATAGGCTTAGTGATTGCCTGCCAACCAGCAACAATGGCAAAGTCCATGGGAGCATAGACCTCTTTACCGGGGCGGTCGACAAAGGCTTCGCCAGTGTTACCGACAGCATGAACGAAATCAGCAACGGCTTGGGACGTGATAGTGGTACGCCCGCCGCTGAAAGTGGCAGTGGTGGGCGTATCAAATGGAACATCCTTGTTGCCAAACCACACACGGTAGTAGAACTCCTTGATGCGGTCGTTGCGGCCGTCCATGACCTCACGGATGGGAGCGTAGCCTGCCTCAGGATGATATGTGAACAAGAAAGTCAAAGGCACAACGCCGGCCTCGGCTGTGCGTCCTTCATACATAGTAAAGCTGATTTGACTCTGCTCGTTCATCTTCACCTCGACTGTCTTGACAAGCTTGCCAGACTGATAAGGTTCTCTCACGATGATAGTCGTCTTCGAGGGATCATCCGGGAAAGAAACTTCAACATACATACCCGGAACTGGCGCAACAATCCGTTTCATCGGGTTAGTCTGGAAACGATGGCCTTGGACAAATACATCGGCCAGGAACATGGCATGCCGCCAGGAATATGACGGTCCAGCAAGGAGACGCAACCAACGGTCCAAATCCGGCAGGTCAGCGGTTGGGGAGGAGGACAAGCGGTAGGCGACCTTGTTAGCGTCTTCCGAGATGGTGAGGCCGTCGATGTCCGAATCATCAACATCCTGCTGGAAACGACCTCCGAAGTATTCAATAACAGGCACTCCGCTGTTATCGCCGCCGTAGACATCCTTGGTCAAGCTTTCAATATGACCTTGATGAATACCGTTCAGGATGTCCGCAACTGGCTCGTCAATAATGTTCGAGAACTTGGCAGCCATCGGACCCTGCAGGATACATGTTCTACCAACGTCCTGACCAACAACCGCCTCAAGGTCTTCGCTTTGCCACAGGGAGTCCTTCTTGAACCAGTACTCGAAGTTCTCATCCAGAGAGGGAACGAACGGCACTGGCTTCTGACCGCGTCGCTGGCAGAGCAATAGGAAGTGCTGTACATCTTGGGCGTTGATCAACTGAGATGCCGCTTCCGGATAGGAAGCCAGGATGTTATCAATGGCCGGGTATGGTGTGTTGAGCTCCGAGTAGTTTTGAAGCAGAGACGGTTGACCCTCAGTAGTGGTGAATCGTTCTTCAACTCGACGGATGAAATCGCCGGTCAGCTTCTTCAAAGATTCATCAATCCATCTACTCTCATGCTTGACATACATGAGGTCCACCATGCGGTGAACCACTTCGGTGTAAGTCATGTCTTCCAGGTCGACTGTCTCTCCGGCAGCGTTGCGACCGAACCAAACCTTCTGGAAATCGTCGTTGAGCTTTTGGATGATGTAGTTCCGGAGCTTCTTGAGCTCGGGGACACGCTTTGCCTTGTCAAGCTTGAAGATCTTCTGGTCCATTTCGTGCCAGAAGAGAACACCTCGAGTGGCCAACTTGTGAATAGGCTCACCCATCTCCGAAAGTACGGTGACAACACCACCTGCCGAGCCCTTGTAAGTCTTCTCCCAGTCCTTGTCGTCGAGACCCGGAGCCTCGGCGATGGCCTTCTTGGCGTTCTTGGATGTATGCGCTTCTTTGGAGATCATCATGCGACTGCCGAACAGGCATCCATCAAAAGGCATAGGCGGGTAACCGAAGCCAGAAGACCAGGTACCAGACAGGTAGGGATAGGTATCTTCCGAGCCGCCGAAACCACTGCCGGCAACAAGAACGATATTCTCGCAGCGCCTAATGCGGCTATACATCTGCAAAATTGGCTGGTGGAAATCTTCAAAGGAGTGATGTCCACCACCACGTCCACCAGTCCATTGCAGGATGATAGGGAACTTCGGATTAGCCTTTGCGATATTGATGACTTGCTGAATTGCATCGACAGAGCCCGGCTTGAAAGCGATGTGCTTGATACCCAGCGTTTCAATGTACTCGTTGGCCACCTCGATAGATGGCACACCGGCACCGATGGTCAATCCTTCAATTGGCACACCCTCAGCCCTCAGCCTGCCAATCAGGGGAATCTGCCAAGCCATAGCCCGGGGGTTAACATAGATCAGGTTGATTGTAATACCACGACCAGG